TCAGGGACTATTTTCTTGTTTTCTGCCTTTAAGAAAGCAAACTGATTTATTTCTATAACTTGTGCATTTTAATTTTATTGTTTAAAACTAGTTTTCTAGCTGTCGTTAGTAAGTGCTCAACATGAAGAAGGTGTGTGGTGTGGCTGGTTGTTACATTCCCAGTAAAGACAGATTGCTTGACTTGTAGCCGAGTTCCTACTGCCTTTCTAAAGATGACTCCCAAAGCGCAGGATAAGCATTTCAGTTCTATGCAATAATTGCGATTATATTGAACTATAAAATATTATCTTGAGGTGAACTTACAGAATTATTCACTATTGTATGCTTTTAAAATCATTTTTATGTTTTTCCTTAATCCAATTATCTATTTTGTGTGTTAATGAAGTATATTCAACTAAGAGTAAATTAATTGAAACCCACATGATGGAGCCATCATTCAGAATTAGCATGAGTGACTTAAAACTCAGTGTTTTTTAGTAATATGCACATTTAATTTTTTCATATTGTCAAACCTATACGTTTTGACTGTTATGTCTCAAAGGCACCTAAACTACTGTTTTAAATACTAATTTTTTCACTGTGTCTGGTGATACATGCTTTTCATCCTAGAACTTAGATGACAGAAGCCTACTCTCTCTCTGTAAGCTTGATCAACTTACAGAGTTCCAGGCCAGCCAGAGCCACATAGTGAGGCTATATCTCAAAAAACCAATAATAAACCCAAATCAAAAGATTGTTGGATTTGGTACTTTCTTAATTTCTGGAAGATTAAAACATAGACTAAAACTTGCTCTTAGGGTCTGGAGTGATGGCATAGTGGTTAAGAACATCCCTGTTCTTCCAGAAGATCCAAGTTCAAGTCCCAGCACCCACATGTCAGCTGACAAGGGGTCTAACACAGATGGTACACATTATTTTTGCTTGGGTATTTTCTTTTTCCAAATAAGAATACATTTGGAAATAGTACACAGTAGAACCTCATGGAAATTTTAAGTAGGGGTTGTGATATGTCTGGGCTTTTCCTTCTGGAGACTATAAAGATCTTCATGGTAAATGTAGTTATCTATAAGATGTAATTATAATCTCAAATAATAAGTAACTTAAACAGGTAGCTCTCTGTTTGTGTGTAGCAAAATTCCGCCAAATTTGGTTATTTTTTTAAACAGTTGTACATCAACAGTTGGAACTGTTTTTCTTTTTTTTTTTTTTAAAGATTTATTTATTATGTATTATGTATACAACATTCTGCCTCCATGTATGCCCACACACCAGAGGAGGGCACCAGATCTCATCACAAATTTGGTTATTGAAAACATTATTTTCTGGCTTGTCTTGGCTCTCCCCAGGTCTCTCATCAGCTCTAAGTAGGTGTTAGCAGGTGCTGCAGTCATCTCAGAGTTTGACTGGGGAGAGTCTGCGTCCAGAAGACTCACATTTCTTTGCCATGTGGGTTGTTCCAGCTCACAGACAAGCAGTTAGCTTCTTTTCTGAGGGGGAAAGCCAGTAAGGTGGAGGAGCCAGTCTCTTCATTGGCTTAATCCAAAATCTTTTTATTTCTGCTGGATTCAATAACCCAAAGTACACTACTTAGGCTAGTTCATATTCAAGAGAGAGTATGCAGATACGAATGCAGCAGGTATTCTCAGGGTCATTTCAGAAGCTGGTTAGCTTAACAGAGAGCTTCTAAGTTTATATTTATTCCTCTCTCTCTCTCTCTCTCTCTCTCTCTCTCTCTCTCTCTCTCTCTCTCTCTCTCTCTGTCTCTCTCTCTCCCATAAGTGGTCCTTAGCCACTTTAATCTTTGTGTTTATTTTCCTTCTCTTTCTTAATATGTTCTTATTCTACTTAGCTGTAATTTTTCTTTATCTAAGACCCAAGATGAACTAACTCTTTTGCTTCATGATATTTTACTCTATGGTCCCTGCTACCTAGCCACTTTGGTTTTATCCAGAGCATCTTGTCTAAATGACTGAAAGGAATGTGAGTGGTGTAAGAGATAGAAATACTAGAGTGGGACTTTCTGGATTATAAAGTTTAGGTCAGTGAGTTGATCAAAGTATTATTTAAAAAAATTAAAAAAATTATTATTTAAATCCTGGGAGATTTTTCTCCTATTTTTTAAAAAAGTTTTTTTTTATTTATACGTATGTGTGTTTGTATGTCATGTGTGTGGGTACCCTCAGAGTCCAGAAGAAGGGCTTCAGATCCTCTGGAGGTGGAGTTATAGGCAGTTATGAGTTTCCCATTGTGGGTGCTGGAAACAGAAAGTGGGTCCATTGCAAGAGTAAGTGCTCTTAACACCACTTCCCTGATGTTCTGTAATTTTTTCTATTTCTATCAAAATCAGAGCGAATCTTGTTTTTTTTTTTCCATTTTCCCTTTAACATTTCGGATGATGAGAATCTTTTATATCTAGAGATCATTGCTTAGTTATACAAAAGTGTATGAATTTTGGTATAATTCAAATTTGAAGGCAGACTATAAACACATTTTTTTTTTTTTTTTGGTTTTGTTTTGCTTTTTCGAGACAGGGTTTCTCTGTAGCTTTGGAGCCTGTCCTGAAACTAGCTCTTATAGACCAGGCTGATCTCAAACTCACAGAGATCCGCCTGCCTCTGCCTCCTGAGCGCTGCGATTAAAGGCGTGCACCACCACCGTCCTGCCTTATAAGCACATTTTATACGAGACATTTTACACAAAGTGTGTATATACAAACATCTATACTTTTTATCATCTAGTTAGCTATTAATATTTGCTTAACACTGTTTTTTCCCCAAATCATAAAATTTATAGTGAAAATGAAAACCCTCTTAAAACTATTACTCTTACTTTTTTTCATGAAACTTGATGCAGCTACTCTTACAGGTATGCAGGGTATTTTCTAGTTCACTTTATGACGTATAAGCTTGAGCATCCATCTACATGATATGCTTTTATGTCTGTGTTGTCTTCATATAAACTCCATATAAAATAATATAAAACTGATGTGTGTGTGCCTACACTGTTCTTTTCCTCTTTTACTGTTAGTCTTTTCATACGGATACTCTTCACTTCAGTATATTATTTCCATTGTGTTTTTTCTCTCTTTCTGAAATCTTATAACTAAGTTGATATAATGAATTAATATTTTGGTTCTATAGCCATTACTCAAATTTTCTACTTTGTGTACAAATTGTCTAACCAATATGTGGCCTCAGTGAATGTGAGAAACTTTGCTTACCTTCTTCCTCATCATAAGTGATGTTTCAAACTCAAATTATTTTTGTAAGTTTGGTATTTAGAAATGTGGACTTTGCTGATAGGTATTTCTTACTACTATGAGCAAGTATATGTTAATGGGCACTTAGATATTATCATCTACAGTGCCTTGTTACTTTGTCTTTTACTTATTCATAGGAGGTCTTTATCCCAGCTATTAATAATTTCCTTTTATATGTTGTAGATACTGTCTACTTGGCTATTTGTTCTTAACCTTCTGATTATTTTTTGTAACAGATAATTTTTTACACCTTTTCTTCTGGATCACTTGTGTTTTGCAGAAAATAAAAGTGAAGGAAGTACAGTTATAGCTAGCATCTGGGTGCACATAATATTAGAATGTGTCATGTGTGTTGAAAAATTATGAAATATAATATTTCCAGTGTATTGAATGTCATTTAAAACTTAAAATTCATGTTGTAAAGTTTTCCTCTGAAGTGTACTATTGGGGAGGTTAGTGGTACTGGCTTGCCTTTGTAAAGGCTTCTCACCGAACGTGTTGTAGGTAGTTAATGTTGTATGGTTTCTCACCGCGTGTGTTGTATGTAGGTAGTTAATGTTGTAGGGTTTCTCACCGCATGTGTTGTAGGTAGTTAATGTTGTAAGGTTTCTCACCGCGTGTGTTGTAGGTAGTTAATGTTGTAGGGTTTCTCACCGCGTGTGTTGTAGGTAGTTAATGTTGTAAGGTTTCTCACCGCGTGTGTTGTAGGTAGTTAATGTTGTAGGGTTTCTCACCGCGTGTGTTGTAGGTAGTTAATGTTGTAGGGTTTCTCACCGTGTGTGTTGTAGGTAGTTAATGTTGTAGGGTTTCTCACCGAGTATGTTGTAGGTAATTAGTGTTGTAGAGTTTCTCACTGAGTGTATGTTGGGGAGGCTAGTGGTACTGAATTGCCCTTTTCTCTGTGTCAGAACATATGGCTTCATCCTTTTTCTTTGAAATTTGTTTAACTTTGGAATTAATCTTCACTGCTCATCTGGCATGGTTTTCACTATTTTGTAGGTAGAAGGACTATATCCCACAATGATAACTAATAAATGTATATTTGTGAGAATGGAAAAACATTGAAGATAGTTTTTCAGAGAAAATACATTTCTCAGATCAGGCAGTTTCTCATTGACATTTTTTTAACAACTATAAACTCATATGTCTTGTGAGCACTTAGATCTACTTATTAATAGATTATTTTGCATATTTTAATTCTAGTTATTACTGTTCAAGTTGAGGAATATAAATTCCAAGTAGAATTTTTAGAAAAAGTTATTGTATTTCATAAAGAAAAATGTTTTTGCAATTGTGAGATTGAATCATTTTCAAGTATGATTAAGAGATTCAAAACTTTTTTGGCTTTCATGAAACACTGTCAATAATACGATTGTGAGATGTACTTGTACCCACTGTCTGTCATTAACTCTTAGTGTGACAGTGTGCAAGTGCATTTTTTTCTTACGCTGCTATAGATGGAATCCACGGTCTCACATATACTATACACGTACTATACCACTGAGCGATACTCCCAGTCTACTAATATGCAGCTTTAATTGGATTGTGAATATTAGGCTCCCAGCGTGAAGAATAACAGCTTATTCATTATGAGATAATGTGGGAACCCGAGAGATGAAGTCTTTCGTGCCATGCTCATTTTAATCAGAAACATGAAAAAATAAAAGTTGCCCTTGGCAAAAGTATAAACATCAAGCTTTTTTTCAAGATGTTTGATCATGTATTTTTTCTGTAATTTTAGGCTTCCAGTAATTATCCCCAGGATTCGCCATGACCCCAGCTCTGAAGGAGGCAACAACAAAGGGTATCTGCTTTTCATCTCTGCCAAGTGCCATGGAATCTGACAAGATGCTGTGCATGGAAAGCCCTAGAACTGCGGATGAAAAGCTCACAGGAGGAGATACTTTCTCTCAGATGCTGGGATTTCCGGCTCCTGAACCTAGTCTAAATACTAATTTTGTGAATTTAAAACATTTTGCCTCTCCTCAGGCTTCAAAACATTTTCAGACAGTTCTCTTAATGAGTTCTAATTCAACACTAAATAAGTATAATGAGAATTATAACCAAAAGAAAGTAATGGAGGCCAACTGCTGTAAGCTGAAAAACGTACTGTGTAATGGCAGCAGCATTCAGCTCAGTAAGCTCTGCCGTTCTCATCCTGAGAATGAGTTCATCAAAAAGGAGCTCTTAGATGGCACAAGCCATTGCATGAAAGATATACAGATCGTTCTGGATTCCAGTCTCACCAAAGATGCTAATGTAGATAAAATACATCTGCAAAACTGTAAATGGTACCAGAAGAATGTACTTTTGGATAAATTCACTGACACTAAGATTAAAAAGGGCCTATTGCAATGTACTCAAAAGAAAATTGGACCTAATCACTCAGATATGCCTGTTAGTTCCTCAGCTGCTGAGAAAGAGGAGGAGGTGAATGCTCGTTTGCTTCATTGTGTGAGTAAACAGAAAACCTTGCTCAGCCAGGCTAGACGAACTCAGAAACACCTGCAGATGCTCCTGGCCAAGCATGTTGTGAAGCACTATGGTCAGCAGATGAAATTTTCTATGAAGCACCAGCTGCCCACAATGAAGATCTTCCATGAACCCACCACAGTTTTGGGTAATAGTTTACTTGAACACACTGAAATTAAGCCAGAAGTCGACATATTGGCTTCAGAGAATAAGTTTTTGAATGATACAAACAATGGTTTTGCTCATTGTACAGCTGCAGAAATCCAAAGATTTGCCCTGTCTGCTACAGGGCTGTTGTCTCATGTTGAAGAGGGTCTGGATTCTGATGCCACCGATAGCAGCTCAGATGACGAGTTGGATGAATATACCATTAGAAAAAATGTGGCAGTGTAAGTGTAAAATTACTAGATTGTTTTTCTATTCCGTATACAGTAGCAATCATCTTGCTTTCAGGATATGTTATAAATCTTACTATAATCATCTTTAAGTTATAAAACTGGTGAATTTAAAAAAAATGTTTTATTTTTTTCTATACAATATATTTTGATCATATTCTTTTCCTTCCCTTATTTCCTCCCAGCTCTTTCCCACCTCCTTATCACCCAACTGGATGTTCTTTCCCTTTCTCAAAAAATAAAACGGAACAACAAAAAATGAAAAAGACAAACAGAAAAGAAATTAAGCCAAATTTTATCAAAACACACACACACACAAACACAAACCAACACCCTGTTGTCCATTTTGTGTTGGCCAACTATTTCTGGGAATGGAACCTTTCCTGGGAGTGTAGTTCATAGACCCAGTAACACTGCATTGGGGAAACTGACTTTTTGGTTAGGAATGAAACTTTGTGTCTCCTTTCCTTTCCAGGCTAGGACTTTCTCTGGCTTGAATTTGTATAGTCTTGTGTATGCTGACACTGATCTCTGTGAGTTTATATGTATATCCTTACTGCTGTGTCTGGAAGATGCTGTTTCTTTGGAGTCACTCAGTACCTCTGGTTCTTACAGTCTTTCTACCTCCTCTTCCCTGAGGGGAAGGGGTTTGATAAAGACATCCCATTTAGGGCTGAGTGTTCATTGTCCAGTTGTGGATCTGTTTATTAATTACCATCTACTGCGAGACAATGCTGCTCTGAGGAGGGCTGAGTGATGCTGTGCTCTGTGGCTGTAACGGTAGGACGTTAGGAGCCATTTTATTGCTATCTTCCTTAACAGACGAGTAGTAGAGAGTTTTCCCATAGGCCTGTCACCTGTCTAGTCTCAGGGTCTTGGTCACTTTAGCAGTGTCATGTATGGTTTTTGTGACATGGAGTGGGCCTTAAGTCCAGTCAAATAATTGATGGCTACTTGCATAACATTTATGTTACTATTGCACCAGTATATTTTGCAAGTTTGTCATATGTAGGAAGGTTTGTGGCCAGGTGAAACGCTTCCAGCATATGGACATGAGTAATAGGGGAAGAGCTTCTCGATATGCACCAGCCTGATTTCTCCTGCTTGATGACGTGAGGAATTTGTCTCTTCAGTGATTGTGCCTCACCATCAGGTTATCAAGAGTAACCAAGAGCCTTGGCAATGGCCTGCCATGTTTTATTGGGGAGGGGAGGTCTATGGCTCCTTTGGCCAACGACTTAACAGATGTAACCCTTTCCTGGCCTGGAGGTTTTACTTGGTGGTATGTCTACTTGGGATATTTTCTCTCATTATATGTTGACTCTATTTAAATTACTTTCATATATGTATATTAGAAAGCATCCACAGTAGTAAGTTTCCATATGACTTTCCAAAAGACCTTTAGTATTGTCTCTCTCCATATTCCCTCCTTTACGCTGCCTTTCCTCCCTCCTCTCAATTTAATCTTCCTAGTCGGGTTTTCCTTTTAGCCCTCTATAACATTATACTCCATTTTTCCTTATTTGGAAGATCTCTTCTCCTCTGGTCCCTCACTAGCTACTTCAAGTTATTCATATTGAAACACGCTATCTAAAACCTAAAAGCTATAAGAGAAAATATTCAATATCTGCCTTTTGGGCCTGGGTTACCTCAGTCAGGACTGCTGTTTTTAGCTGCATCCATTTATCTGAAAATTTTATGATTTTTATTTTTCTTAATAACCGAATAATAATCTGTTGTGTAAACCCAGCACATTTTCATTATCCTTTCATCAGCTGATGGACATGAAGCTGTTCCCAGTTTCTGGCTATTATGACTAGAAAAGCAGTGAGCATGCATGAGCAAGTTCCCAAGAGTAGGATGCCTAGATCTTGTGGTAGATCTATTTCCAGCTTCCTGAGGAACAACCACACTGATTTCCATAGTGACTGTATCAGTTTCCACTTCCATCAGCAGTGAATAAATGTTTCCCCCTTCCCCGCATCTTTGCCAGCATGTGCTGTCATTTGTTATCTTGATCTTGGCAATCCTCACTGGGGTGAGATGAAATCTCAATAGTTTTAATTTTCATTCCCCTGATGACTAATGATGTTGGACACTTTGAAAACATTAAGTATATCATTTGTGTTTCCTCTTATGAGAACTCTGTTTAGTTCTGTATTCCAGTTTTTAATTGGACTATTTTCCTGATGTTCAGTTTTTCTGTTCTTTATTATTGAAATTAATCTTTTAACAGAAACATAATTGATTAAAGATTTTCCCCCATTTTGCAGACTGCCACTTTGCTTGAGTGACGGTGTCTTTTGCTCTGTATAGAAGAAGCTTTTTAGCTTCATGAGGTTCCATTTATTGTTGTTCTTAATGCCTTTGCTGTCAGTGTCCTGTTTAGAAGATCCTTTTCTATGCCAGTGAGTTCAAGCCTATTCCCCACTTTCTCTCCTGTCAGGTTTCTCTTCTGTAAGGTTCAGGGTATCTGGTCTTTTATTCAGGTCCTTGATCCATTTAGAGTTGAGCTTTATGCAGGGTGACAGATGTGGACCTATTTGCAGTCTAAATGTGCCATCCAGTTTGACCAGCACCACTTGTTGAAGGTGCTGTCTTTTCTTCAGTGTATATTTTGGTTTCTTTGTCAAAAATAGGTGTTTGTATGTATATGGAGATATGTCTGACTCGTCAATTTTATTCTGTTGATTAATTGTGTGTGTGTATGTGCATGAGAGAGAGAGAGAGAGAGAGAGAGAGAGAGAGAGAGAGAGAGAGAGAGAGAGAGAGAGAGAGAGAAAGAGAGAGAAAGATCTGAGATAGAATTTCACTGTGTAGGTATGCTGGCCGAAGCTCACTCTTAGAGCAGGCTGGCCCCCTGAGAGCTTGGATAAAGGAGTGCATTAGCCACCCCAGCATCCATTTCATGCCAGGCCCATGCTGTTTTTTTTTTTTTTTTTATTACAGTTGCTCAGTCATAGAACGTGAAATCTGAGATGATAATACCTTAAGATATTTTATTTCTTAAGATAGCTATATGTGTGAATCAGATATGCTAAGTGTGAGCCTCAGGATCTTCTGCAAAAACTCCATAGACCTTTTTTAGTTTATTATGTAAAATGGTGTAGTATGTGCACCTAATGACATTTACCTGTATACATCTCTGGATTAATCATAATACTTAAAACAGTGTGAATGCCATGCAAGTAATTGTTACACTGAATTGTGTAGGGGATAACAACAACAACAAAACCCCTACATGTTCCATATAGAAATAGTTTCAGAGATGATAGGAATTTTCTGTATGTTTGTTGTGTAATACACTTCGTATAGCTATTGAATTCTCAGTTGTTATAATGTGCGATTGCTTGAATCTGCAGATGTTACAAAATCTATGGATATGGAGTAGTAAGCATTATTTAAAAGTAGTTACTTTACTTTCCAGGAAAAACATAAAGGAATAGTAATAAGTATAAATAAGCATTTTTCTATCCTTGAATGTAATTAAAGCCTGAACCTTTAAGAGATTACATGGGGTTCCCTTGTTAGCTTTGGGAATCTAATAGTTGTGAGTGTATGTTATGCTACTTTATAGAGGGTAGAGTTGAGATGGCCCGGGCCGTCCTTGAACTCTATACTCTTGTCTGTGCTTCCTAACTGCTCGATTACATGCATGCCTTTGATCTGCTAGGGGTTTATTTGTTCTTTTTTTTTTTTGGCGAGAGAGTATGATCATATTTCAGTTCATAATCTTATTCAGCTTGTCATCATAACAAAGTAAATGGAAAACACATTATTTCTTCTACAGTATGCGATGATCTTCTATTGAAGACTAAGTGTTCGATTTAATTTGACTTAAATTTAATGTAGTCACATGGAGCACAATTTCAAATTTCTTGGGATCTGTTAATGTTGTTTGTACATGTTCCTGAATACAACTGTGACATTTGGGGCAAAAATAGTCTGTCATTTTTTTTCAAATTCTTCAAAATGGATAATCATTATAGAATTAGAAACGATATTGTTTTTACTAATTGATATAGAACTAGTGTATTATTTTTTATGAGTGAAATGTGACAAAATGAGTATCCCTATCTTTTAAAAGTGTTCTGATGTCACTATAACTGAAATTGTTTGGATGTGGGAACTAGCCAGTTATTAATTGCAAATTATTTTTCAGGCTGCCATTTTGCTAGTTAATTATATATGATATCTCATTTAGTTCCATCAACCATGTGATGTGGTTGCTACTATCCTCATTTCACTTAAAAATGAGCAATCCCTCCAACACATGGCCATTCTTATGCCTCAGATTTTCACCAGAAGCAGGAGTCGCAATGACTGAGTTGCGAGTCTGGGACTTTTATCAAAAGCATCAGCTAAACAACCTCTTCCCTAGAGTACCAAGTGCTAGCCACTACAGTACAGAGTCAGTGGGGATAACCAGTACATTTGCTTCCAGCTTAAAATAGACTCACAGCTGGATCATTTTTATGTTTCATGGCTACCACATGCAAAAAATTATGCTACAGCAAAGATTAAGGAATCAAAGCACAATAGAAAACCACTAGATCATAAAAAAACAAAGAGATTATTATTATTATTATTTTTTTTTTGGTGTTTTGAGACAGGGTTTCTCTGTGGTTTTGGAGCCTGTCCTGGAACTAGCTCTTGTAGACCAGGCTGGTCTCGAACTCACAGAGATCCGCCTGCCTCTGCCTCCCTAGTGCTGGGATTAAAGGCGTGCGCCACCATCGCCCGGCTCAAAGAGATTATTTTAAAAATAGTAATAATGAAGGTGTCACTAAGAAATCTGTACCTGTCACTAGTTAATTCTTGACTGTAACCAATTAGCTTCTTAAGAATTGCTGAATGGATTGGGGAAAAACAAAGACCCAGTTATAAGCTCTTTAGTAAGAGATTTCAGCTTTAAAAAGACATACAATGTACAGGGAGTTAAAAAGAAAATATACTCCATGAATATATAACCTAGAAGAGAACAGGGCTTAGCT